CATCAATATATGGTGAAGAACACATTTAGGCTGGAGATAGGACAGTATATTTAATATGAATAAAATGAATAAGTTACAGATGAATGAACATGCCTGCAAAGTCGAGCCATGCTATTCGACGAATTAAATTCCAAATCAATGTTACCGCGTCGATCATTATTGACGTACGTTTAGTGTTATATGTTGAAAATCTATTTTCTCATTTATCTCATGTTCAACTTTGAGGATTGTAGTTAAGATCCAATACTACTAAATATACTAGCAAAGATTTCTGCACACAAATCATAAAGCATATATTTTACATCATAATATAAAGTGATTTCCTATCCGGGCCGGATAGTTCAATAGTAACGTCTTTGATTGTGGAGCTGAGAGACACGGGATCGAATTCGTCAGGGAACATCAGTTCCCTTAATATTATAGTTACTAGATCTACAGACTATTAAAAAAAGAGAACCAACAAAAATGATAGTTTGATTGAATGTGCATTAAAATAGGGAATTATTCGGTTAATAAAATGTGCAATAAGTTCTCATGAATAAATATGTATGGGAAATCAATTAAGATGCCACATGAATCTCACGTTCTGTGTTCGATTTCCACAAATCCTGTTCAACTGCGCCTATTTTTATATTAAAAAAACCCAACGTATTATCAGTAAATATAAACGAAAGATCGATATTGAGGTCAGTGATGCTACATTTTCATTCGCTTATATGACATATATTTACAAAAAATATAAGATGTCATTAGGCAATTAGAATGACTTAGAATTCTGGAAGAACTCTTTTCTACTTACTTACTTACGCCTGTTACTCTTCATGGAGAAGAATAGGCCGCCCACCAGTACTCGCCATTCAACTCTGTCCTGGGCAATGCTTTCGGGTTTCTTTCCAGTTGTTATTCATCCTTTTCATATCTGCTTCTATTTCCCGACGTAATGTGTTCTTTGACTTTACACTTTTCCGTTTCCCTTCAAGATTCAAGATTAGGGCTTGCCTCGTGATACAATTTGATGATGTCCCCAATGTATGACTCAACCAGCACCATCATATGTTCCTGGTTTGTTCTCTCCCATAGTAGGCTATTGCTGATGGTATATGGCAAACGAATATTCAGTATCTTACATAGACAATGGTTTACAAACACTTATACATTTTTGATGATCGTTGTGATAGTTCTCCACGTTTCAGCTACGTACAGTAGAACAGTCTTGACGTTTGTATTGAAGTTTTTCACTTTGATATTGGATCACAGTTGTTTTGAGTTCCATATCTTCTTCAACTGTAAGAATGCTACTCCTGCTTTATCAATCTTCGCCCGTACTTCTGTATCAGATCCTTCTTGTTCACCGATGATGTTACTGAAATACATGAAACTTTTCACCTCTTCCAGAATTTCTCCATCGATTGTGATTGGGTTGGTGTTCTCTGTGTTGAATTTGAAAATCTTGTTTTTTCCCTTAACTATGTTGAGGCTCACTGATGAAGAAGCTGCTGCTACACTGTTTTTCTTGACCTGCATTTGTTGGTATGTATGAGATAAGAGGGTCAGGTCACCTGCGAATTCCAAATCATCTAACTGATTCTAAGCTGTCAGTTCAATGAATTATTCATGCATAAGTGTATATCATTTCAAGCATCTTGAACATTTCTAAAACATGAATTATTCGTCAATCACTTCAAACACTCTTTCACATTTAATAAGTCCGACTAAAGCACAAACAATGAATGTGATAGAATATAGTGAACTTAATACATTTCACGGTTTCTTATCAGCGTCCTACAATCCAAACATAATAGTAATAATCATAAGAAATCAGGTATAGTTTTGTTATATCTCGATGAGAATAGTGAAGGGTAACTGTTTATGGAGCATTTCTGAGATATAACTATACATCTGTTTTTATTGTGTATATGTTAAGTAACTAATCTATGCATATTCATGTTCCTCTTATTACATGCTTCATTTTGACCCATCGACTATTATGATACGATTTACTATTCTTCAGTTATGCTCACTCTAATAACAACAGTCTCCCACATTCACAGTCACTTTTGGTTAGATCTTGGTACAATTGTGTATTTTCTATTTTATGGTAAGGTGTGGTCTGTTTGGTTTGTATATAAACACAGTAAATTTGAATTAGAGGATTCATATTGCGGAGGCTGAGATTTGTGTTCTGGACTTAACAAGAAGAGCCAGGCAGGAAGCAGGACCGGTAAATACTCTGGACTTTTCGTACGGGTTTTACGCGTCGTTAGTCTAGTCGATAAATCACTCTTCTGTAATTGACGGTATCGTTACGTGATACATTCATAGGGCACAGGGTCATAAGATACAACAGTTTTAGATCATAATATATTGAGTTATTTGATTGAACGACGTTAAATTAAACGTCTTTAGTAACCAAATCACTTAGAGAGAAATATTTAAATGACGATAATTGACGGTTTGATTTTATAAAAACAGTAATCTATATTTATATTCAATGAGTATGGTGTTTAACTTGCTTATTCTGGTCGGCTTCTTTTTTACGAAAAGACGTTGGAAGTGGATAAAACATACATTGCGGAAATCATTAAACTGCACTACAAGGCAAGCCCTAACATTGAATCTTGAGAGGCAACGGAAAAGAGGAAAGTCAAAGAACATATTGAGTTGGGAAATAGAAGCAGATATGAAAAGGATGAATAACACCTAGAAAGGATTGCCCATGACAAAGTTGAATGACTAGTGCTGATGGGTGGCCTATTCTCCTCCACGAAGGCTAATGGGCGTAAGATTTTGTCGTTTAAAAAAGTAAATCACTGACTAGGAAATACATTTTCATGTTAATTCACTACACTGTTTTAACTATAATGATAACCTATTATCTATTCACGTTTTGTATGTGTGAATAGTGGTCTATAGTGAAATTCACGAAATAAGATGGGTTCTGTTTGAGAGTCTTTAACTAGCCGAACCTAGATCCTAGTGTCAATGCTCACACAGTTCATCATCTTATTATCTGTTGCTTTAAATACTAAATTGACTAGCTAATGAGGTTCAAAATACACATGACGGGTTAATACCAAAATGTTACAAATATTTTTACTAGTTTAATACCTGATTTATTAATAAGAAAGTAATCACCTAACCTTTACATTAACCGTAACACTAATTTATTTAAGAATCTTAGTCAGATTGCATAATCATGGTAAAGTTAGATATTAATGTATTCACTGAAAGATATACATATAAAGCTGACTGTGAAACTCACCATAGACTTTTCTAAAGGTAAGTCCTGTTTCAATCACTTCCTTATATGCGCTTTTAATAAGTACTTAAGTTGAAAAAAAAAGAAGATCAAGATAAGACAATTATAAAGATCATCACACGGAATACGGTTTTATTTAAAGACTTTGTTTAAGTTTTAACGCTAGTAGTACTGTGATATAACTGTCTCTATCATGACATATTTCTCCTCATCAAAATATTTTTTTAGTTAACAATAGTTCTGTACTAATTGCCTAATTCTATCAAGTTTTCAATGGGTTTACTTACTTCCTTACGCCTGATACTCCACGTGGAGGAGAATAGGCCGCTAACCAGTACTCGTCATTTAACTCGGTCCTGAGAAATGCTTTCGAGTTTTTTCCAGTTGTTATTCATTCTTTTCATATCTACTTCCATTTCCCGACGTAATGTGTTCTTAGGCCTTTCTCTTTTCCGCTTCCCTTCATGATTCCAAGTTAGTGCTTGTCTCGTGATGCAGTTTGATGATTTGTGTAATGTATGTCCTATCCATTTCCATCGTCTTTTCCTAATTTCTTCTTCAGCTGGAAGCTGGTTTGTTCTCTCCCACAGTAGGCTGTTGCTGATGGTATCCGGTCAATGAATGTTGAGTATCCTGCAAAGACAACTATTTGTGAATACTTGTATGTTATTGAAGATGGTTGCAATAGTCCTCCACGTTTCAGCTTCGTAAGGTAGGACTTTCTTGACATTCGTATTGACGATTCTGTCTTTGATATTGGTTGATGGTTGTTTTGAATTCTATATGTTCTTCAACTGTAGGAATGCTGTCATTGCTTTGCCAATCCTTGCCTTCACGTCTTCATAAGATCTTTCTTGTACATTGATGATGCTCCCCAGGTACGTGAAGGCTTCCACCTCTTTCAAAGTCTCGCCATCAAGTGTGATTGGTGTTCTCCGTGTTGTATTTGAGGATCTTGGTTTTCTCCTTGTGTATGTTGAAGCCTAATGATGGAGAGGTAGCTGCTACACAAGTTGTTTTCATCCACATTTGTTCGTGTATATGGGATAGGATTTTAAATAGAAGTAACCTTAGTTATATTTCATTAATTATTGAATTTTGTGTAAATTCACTTGACAACTACTAGATGATGTAATAGAAATCTATGGAATACTCACATTTTTAAGATATTGATCCAGTAGCTCTTATAACCACTAACCTAATAATACCATTTACCATCAAGAATGAGATCACTTAATAAACAATCGTGTATCTCAGCTTACAGAATTCACTATACAAACTAGATGATAAGCCAACAGTCTTTTATTTTAATGGTTAGCTTATTTGAAACTCTATTAAACATACATTTAGATTCTTTATATTTTTCTTCAGTTTCTCCCAGAGTTGATTTTCTTTCATTAAGTGATTTCCCTTTAGTAGAATATAAAAATGAAATCCAATTATTAATGCAAATAATCTAATGTTTTCATCATGATGATTTACATTTCAATATATAAGTGATTTGTGTTTTATTTTGTACACATCTACGATCTCATACCGTGGGATTTGAAACCAAGACCTATCAGTCTGGCGCGGGAACACTTAAACTCTAGATTATTGAGATAATATTCAACGGTGTTAATGTCTAACTTTAATTATTCTATGAAATTAAATCACAGCTTACGGTTTTTGATTATCTTTTACTTTTCCAAAATGTATTTTGGTTTATACGATTGACGATTCCTTCGCACAAAATGATGATTCAATTAAAGGCAGTAGTAGTAGTAGTAGTCGTAGTAGTAGTAGTCGTAGTAGTAGTAGTAGTCGTAGTAGTAGTAGTAGTAGTAGTAGTCGTAGTCGTAGTAGTAGTAGTAGTCGTAGTAGTAGTAGTCGTAGTAGTAGTCGTAGTAGTAGTAGTAGTAGTAGTCGTAGTAGTAGTAGTAGTAGTAGTCGTAGTAGTAGTAGTAGTAGTCGTAGTAGTAGTAGTAGTCGTAGTAGTAGTAGTAGTCGTAGTAGTAGTAGTAGTAGTAGTAGTAGTAGTAGTAGTAGTAGTAGTAGTAGTAGTAGTAGTAGTAGTAGTAGTAGTAGTAGTAGTAGTAGTAGTAGTAGTAGACGTTTTCACAAATACTTCAGGATTTCCGATTAGGTTATTAATTAAATACAGTGTAAATTGATATACAAGTACATGATCACTAAAAATTATCTCTCAAACGTCATTTTCATATTGATAGTTTCTTGAGAAATGATATAGTTTTATTAAATGTTCAAAACGATGAAATCATAAGGTTGCCTTCACTGTTAAACATTGAATACTCATAATGATTACATAACTGTTTACCATTGTAATAGGTCTCAAAATAAATTTATAGAACTTGTATGAAACCATAAATCATACAATTAGTATTTACTTGTATTTTATAAACTTCTCTGGATAAGCAAAGATGGGTAGTGGCTAGCAGTGAACACACGTTTTATCCTATTTGGGAATTATCAGCAATATACACAGTATGCATATACGCCGATAAGATACTGATCAATTACAGTTCTAAAAATCAATCGGAAGATACAAGTAAAACATCCGCAAGTGAATTCAAACTTTACACCATTGCACAAGCAAACAGCTATCAGGAAACAGTAGCTAAGTGGATATTGCGATAACGTTTGAAGCGAACGATACTGGGATCAAGTCATGGAGTGCACATCAACATTGGGATACAGGTATATCCAACTGATGTGTCTCAAATAGAACGAAATGTGCGTCAAACCGGATTCCACTGTTTGCACCTATCCATCTTTACTTATAAAGCTAGTAAATTAAGGCATTACGCATAGAATGCATATATACCAATAAGTGACTGATCGATTGCAGTCCTGAATAACAATCGAAATATATAAGTAAACATCATCAAGTGAATTTACTGGATGATTTCAAACAGTATTGAAGTAAGCTTCAACAGTTATTAGTCAAAATTGACTTTGACAATTTCTTACTTAAATCTTGATTGATATAACTTTATTCTTAAAATGGATGTCAAGTACTCACCATTATTTTCTGTCAAAGATGATTTTTCGGATGAAGTTTTCAAGTTCAAATATAGGTCTGCATGAAAAGAAAAACATTAGTAGTCAATATGAATTTGAAAGTAGTATGTATAGACATTATTTCCTTCAATTTATAATTTTAACCGTTGAACCCATTCAAAAAGTTATTTCCAATATGATATTTTGTTGGGGCAGATCCAGAAAACTCCTCGTAAAAAAGCCAAAAGGAAAGGCTCCGGAAACAATGAGAATCATCTTATCCAATCAGCATTTTCTAGAAGTCTTTCCAGAATTCTGGCAAAACATCAATAAATTGACAAGTCGCATTAGTGATTGAATGATTACCTATGCTGCTACTATATTCATTAACCTTCCAGAACTTTTCGGAAACCCAAGGACATCTGAAACACTACAAAACTTAGAATCTTTCGTACATGAACGAATCTTTGAAGTATAGCGTTTCTTCCATATTTTTCGCCTTTCCTTTCGTATTGAAGTCGCTATGTAGATTTAGCCTAATGGTTACTAGGAACGCTTAGGAATCAAATCTAGCGTTCAATTAGAAAACCTATCACATTTAAGTAATGTATGTTAAATATGCAACGGATAAACTCGAAGAATTTCATCTGTGTAGATCAGCTTTCTATGTACTTGAGTCTCCAGTTTTTCTGTGTCGGTTCTGGTTGTTATTGCATCAAAAATGACATTTTTTTGTTTGACTCCTCTTCTATTGTCACGGATGACTTTGTTAATCAGCTTAAAAATGGAAGCCTCAATGATTTTCAGTTATCAGTGCATGAAATTGTATTCAAGAATATGAAACCACATATCCTGTTTGAAAAGACTACTGAATGAAGATTATCAAGTTAGGCTAATACAACCTAGTTTCTCGTAGATCACCATGAATATTCAGTGGAATATATATAATTATATTACATACGTAGTAAGTATACTCATTCATAGGTATAATAGATTGATATAGTTTCTTTATTGGTCAAGTAAGTTTCATTACTGATTTTGTGATGCAAAAACGTTTTTTCTGAAAACCTACTGGTCGCTAAATCGAATTTTAATCTCGTATCCCACTTCTTCTTTATTGCAGCTTCTATTGAATCAAAGTCTACAATAGATGAGTGAGAAAAGAAAAAAACAGTCGAATGTAGTACTATGATTACTACGAATTATATATAAGCCAACTTCAATTCATTCCATTAAGAACTGATCAATCAGTCAGCTACAACGTAGGATCAAACACATATGTGCATCGGTCCAAGTTGCGACACCTTAGTCACTAGCACAACAAGATGAACACCGAATTCGTAGAAGTAGTTACTTCAATGGTACTAATATATGAAAGACTGTGTATAAGGATATAGTACAGAAACAAAGATATAGTTGGTAGAAAGAAAGATATGAGGCGATTTTAATCACATGGATTATGGAAAGAAAAAGAATGTATATACGCCACGCGGACCCCAACCAAATAGTCTGCATCTATCAACATGGCTCATAGTAGAAGGTAGTGACTTCAAGCACTGATGCTACATTTTGGTTTGGCCGCCCCAAAACTTCTTCCAACCGCCCCCAACACTAGTCAGTCAGTATTGCGCGTCGTGGTAATCGGTGTCCGGGCATACATAACACGTGACTCAACTATCTCAGTCGACGAAGATTCACAACCTCATCAACTGATTTACCATCATTCCCTGATATCCTACATTTAACCTCACTATTACTTACCCGGTGACTTCAGCAGATGCGAGCAATATTTCTAAGGTATATGTAGTCAAATATTAGTAGCTTACGAGTATCTTCCACTCTTAATGACTACATTTTGAAGCCGTAAACTTGAACCGAAAAAACTGACGTACAGTATACTGATATATAATATAGGTAAAAACATAAATATGGCTAGTTGTTTCTGTCCAATACAAACTCATCATAAAAGCTACTAAACAGCCTACTGTTGTGATTTACTTAATTCTTGAACATGAAAAAAATGATTCATTCTTAGTCGCATTGTTTTCCATTTGAAAACAATGACAAGTTACTGTGACAGGTTTCATCTCAAATATCAAAACATTTCGAAACTAGATATTGGAATTATGTATACATATAAGACTTATGCATATCACAAGTTGAAATCATGAGTCAGTTGAAGCTAGACAACCATTGAAAACCCGGAAGCACTGGACGGCCATATCGTCCTGGCATGGGAATCCTCAGCAGTGCGCATCCACGATCCCGCACCATGCGGGGCTCGAACCCAAGACGTACAGGCTCCGCGCGCGAGCACTTAACCACTAGACCACTGAGCCGGCATCCAACGGTGTTAATGTCTAACTTTAACCAATCCACGAAGTTGAGGCCACCGTACACCATTGTCTTCAGTGTGTTCCTATCTCACAACAGACTGGTTGAACTCCACTAGTAACGGCTTCTCACTAGAACTCAAGAAGTTTTTCCTGAAGTCAGTCACTAGTGAGCAGTTGATTATTATCAGAATGGGTTTTGTGGAGAGTTTAAGAAATTTCACAAGTTGAAATCATGAGTCAGTTGAAGCTAGAAAACCATTGAAAACCTGGAAGCATATATGCATATAATGTATAGTAATCGTCAAATTATAACATAAATAGATGTTTCAATAGAATAATGAGAAGACGGAGTTGATCTGAAAAATTTGTTGATGTATTTGCGCTATACATTTCGAACAATCTGGTCACACACACTTATGCTTGTCAGGGCATTTTTTATATGAAACTTAATAAAGGTCAATTCAATGGAATTTCAAGCAAAATAACAAAGGAGGAGAGAAAGAATAACAAACTCGCGTTATCCTAGGCTATAGAATGACTTAGCGCCTAGCGCAAGACTGATAAGTCCCGTGTTCGAAACACGCGAGGCGGGGTCATGGATGAGCACCTCTGAGGAGTCCTATACCAGGACGAGACAATAGTTCAATGCTTCCAGATTTTCTATGGTGGTCTAGTTTCAATTGACTCATGATCTCAACTACTGAAAAGACTTAAGGATTACTAAGGTAAATTAAAGGTTACAACAAATTGATTTTGTACACATCAATGAGGGTTTAAATTTACAAATAGTCAAAGCTTTAATAAACTTAAGAATTTGTCTGTGACAAGTTCTATACAACCTTCTAAATGCTGTATTAATAGTCAATTTTGTGTATCGTTTCAATTATATGTTAAAAAAAATGCCTTGACAAGTGTATGTATGTGATCAGATTGTTCGAAATGTATAACTCAAATACAACATCAAATGTTTTCAGATCAACTTCATCTTCTCATTGTTCTATCGAAATTTGATAAAGAGATTAATGACTTTATATAAATAAATGTGTTTTAAACTTACGATATTCATAGACATCTGAATTCTTCTTTATACTCGATACTTGTTCATAATAATCTAATAAAAGTGGTAACATAGACTTTTAGGTTAATGAAATATTTCATATAGTCTAAATTCAATTTGTACAGTTTAATATAAGGCATGTAACTAGTATATCTTGATCACTATTAGATGGTGATCTGAAGTTATGTCAACTCTTCTCTTAGTTCTTTTGTCTCCTATGTTGTAAACGTGTGAGACTACAGGTTAGATGAGCAGCGTTTTTATCGATCGATTCAATGACACATAAACACGTAATGAACGACTTAGTGTCCCGATTGGCTCTGTTTCGCTGTCTAGCCCAGCCAGTTGAGTACAGAACGCAAGTCACAGTCTCTGAGATATGAATCATTATAATTCAAACACGCTCTGTTTATATACTAACCAAGGAGACCACATCGTACGATAAAATAGAAAATAACATTTACACAATGTTTAACAGGTGAAATAAATATCGACCAATAGGAAATGTACATTTAACTTCAAGGACACCATTCGACTTAACACAATAATTATTGAGATGGTGGAGAAGATTTGTAGCTCACGTGGATGATTTTGGTGGTTTTGTTCTCTGAGCTGGATGGTTTGGTTGTGGAGCTTTCATCGTTCTTCTTAACGACATCATCGGCACAAAATTCAGATAGAGGTGAAGTGTTCAAATTTCTCCATATGTGTTTCACAGCTTGTTCTGTGCACCTTGATGTTGATTGGTTCTTGTTGACCTTAAATTTATCATTGTTTGTGCTGATGATGTCGTTCAGAAGAACGATGAAAGCCGCACGACCAAACCATCCAGCTCAGAGAACAAAACTTCACCAAAGAACGATAATTATTGGTATATTCCTCTACATACCTAACATTCCATTTACATTATGAATTTGTCTGTGATACAAGTGTGATCGATCTGATTCCGTGTAATGTGGTCCGATGAGGCCCATACAGCTTTGTGTATAGGTTTATGTGGGAATATTGTGCCACCTATAGCCAATTTGTTGAGTGTACATAGATTATCGAACCTCTTCCCATTCTTGTTCTTTTCTCCCAGTCCATGATGTCCCATGATATCTTCATAAACGTTTTTTGCATTACGTCTTAGATTTTTAGGTCTTTCGTCAAATCATTTTCCTGGGCACTTCACTATGATCGATTGCAGCCTGTCATAAAACTGATCCTTATCATCGACGTTGCTATCATTAGTGGGTGCATAACATTGGGTATTATTCATTGTAATACCCTCGTTCTTTCTTTTTAAAGATGATTTTATGGTCATTAATCAATGAGATTCCCTTCCTATAAGTAATTTTTGTGCTTTTTTGAACAACATCAGAGCAAATGCCTGCCTGCGCGGGGCATTTCCTTCTTTTTGACTACAGTACAAAAGCATCTCCCCCGAATCGAGTATTTTTTGTCCAGCATGAGTCAAACGAGTTCCACTTCTCATTTCCATAGTTGTTTGACTGGTCCTCCCAGTCTGACACATTGTCCGGACGTTCAGTGTTTCAATAATAATTGTTGATCTGATTATTATTAGAAAAATCGGTTGTGTGACTTCCGACGAATCTCGCCTTTCATCATGAGGCATCATAATTCTTCCTTCAGTAGTAGGGCGGATTTTAAATGGTCTAATCTTTTTTAACCTGGTTAATGTTTTTTTAGCAAGATAATTTTCAACGGGATGGAGTTGCTGAACCCGTGTCCAACCTTCCTCCTTTACACGCTCTTTGGACCGGGTGTGACCCTAGAATAGCTACGAATGAAATTAATCCAAGTTTAGTCATAAAATAGTATTGAATGTAGAGTTGTGTGAACGCAACACCAATCGTCGATATTCCACACTATATTTTGACATGATAAAGTTTCATAAACTGGGCACACATCTACCCCAGTGAATGCAACAACGTTAAAATTTGCTTCATTCTACTTATCTAAAATTATCTATTGGGTAACACCATGGGTAAACTCCAACTGAGTAAATATGAGTGACAGAATCCAATTTGCCACAGGTATTCATTAGTTATAAATGTGAAATACATACAAAATGAATTGACTTACCTGAGTACGTCTGCAGTAAATTGGCATCATCGGGACTGATATCTGTATTTGGTAAAAAGTTACTCGAGTATTAATCTTAGAAACTAAAATGGTGTTGTTCTTTAAAGAAATATTACTCCATCATTCTGTTGCACTAATCATGCATTTACAAACTGTTTGTCCAAACGCTAACATTAGATTATGCATGATATTTGCTAATGGGATGTGGTTGTATTTTGTTACTCACTTCCCACTATTAAGCCAATGAACTATGGAAAAACCAGAGCGTTCCTAAATTACCTACTTAAAACGATAGCCTCAATTGAAGCATAGATTGCTGACTGGTGATCTTTCATCAACACAGTCTTGGCATCTTTACAGTTCATGTTAATTAATATTCATCACCCTTACATATATTTTCTTGCTGGCTTGTTCACAGACACAATCAATTATTGGTTAAACTATCACGTCAAAAGAATAAGAGCATATTTCTTAAAAACTTTACAAATAACACTATCCCACTGATGTTGGTTGTCATAATTTGCAGGTTTCAGTGACTTTGTTTAAAAATGTAGAGTGAAAATTTCGACTTCGACTAGAAGTAACAGATATTTTGAGCTTCAGATATCCATCAGTCGCAGAAGTGTTGTCCTTCCATTGCTAATTCTTGCTTTCACATCTAGATCAGAACCACAGGTTTTTGATTCACAGAAACACAATCACCTCTATTACATCAACCTGCTTAACTGTCTATTCATGCACATATCATCAGTCCAGTTCTGTACAGTGTGTTGTGGCGAATCCCATGTAGCACTGTGTATGTGTTTGTGTGGTAATATGGATACACCTATAACCAATTCTTTTTGAAAACACATACATCTGCAAATAGCACACCAGTTTTGTGCGTTTGTCGCAAAACATATTGTCTCATGACATATCTTCATATCTGATGTTATCCATTTTGAACACTTCAGACTGGAGTTTGTCTTCTCTTGCCCAGTCTGTGTCCAATCAGCTTCACTCATTGCAAACAAAGACTGATTGTAGGTTCTCATCTATGCTGTTCACCAAATATCAGAACGAGTATCACCATCATCACGTCATAAGAGTTCCGAGTTTCATCATGAACTGTCGTAGTCATTCAATAGGGAGTCTCTTCCAAACTCAGGAAACAATTAAAATGGTTTCATTGATTGTCTCTGATCAAAGTTATTTTATCGACGTTGTTATGCAATTGCCATTAGGTATATTTACAACAAGTAAATATATATACATCAACCTACTTTCGAACAGATCTAAAATCCATTTAGCGCCATATAATTTTTCTAGCCTCATTATTTCTATTAAACGCAAAAACAGTACAAGAATATCAGTGAAATCTGAGGAGAGAAGCTTTTCTGTAAACATCAAATTCATCTGATCATTGAATAACTTTACTGACAAATGTCTAGAAGATTTAGAATTGCAGTTAACATGTATTAGTAATGTTAATGATATATGTCACCAACAGATATAAATTGAAGTTAGTTTTCTGGCATATAATTTCACAGTTCTAGTTAATCTTTATCACGTTGAATGAAACTATGAAAGCTGAAATGAAACCTTTTTTTATCGCTCAAACATATGATGATGACGAAATATTAAACACTGAATTAAGTGATATAGAGGAATCGTATACAATTTATATTATCAAACAACAGAATGCTCTCAATATGGGGTTGCGGATATTATTATGTTTTTGATTGAAATCAATAACTGATTGATGTTAAATCTCCAGTGTAAACCTGGAAGCACTTTTCGTCTTATTGTGGGACTCCTCTTTTTTGCGCATTCACGATTCTGCTTGCAGGACCTGAACTCAAGGCCGTCGGTCTCGCGCGCGAACGCCTAACTTCTGGAACACTGAGTCGGCATCCGACGGTGTTAATGTGTAGTCTCAGTCGTTCAGTGCTTTCAGGTTTTCAATGGTGATCTAACATCAATCGGTTCATGATCTCAATCAATAACAGAACTTTAGTTGTTTCTGGAAAGATTATTAAAAATGATGAAATAAACTATGTTGAATCACCAGTTACGTACTAAGCTGTAACATATTTATTAAGTAATAAGATATTTAACTCACCGTCTCTGAATTGTTTTTCACCATTTTGAATCGAGATTAAAATTAGTTCCTCTATTTGAACTTATTAACAAAAAATATATGAGAATGGGGCTTTGTGTGGATATTATAGTAATTTTAATAATTGAGATCATGAGTCAATTGAAACTAGACTGCACTGTATTGAGGAGATTTAAAGTAATAAGAAATAGCGGCTCAGTGCCTCTAAGTTTTCCATGATAGTCTAGCTTTAATTGACTTATGATCTCAACTAATATAATGAAAATACGTTATTAGCTTATGTATGCATATTGATATGTTAAATTAAATCATTCCCTCTCAATACAAATTATCTACCTAATTTGAATGACTTACGTTTTTCCCTGTCAAGAGTTTTGATACTTTCAGTGTGGTCTTTTAGTTTGAAGTATACATCTATGATAAATGAAGAACATGTTATGAAATAGAAATGTTTCAATTAATAGGTTTAGTTTCACATGTTTGTATACATTTAATTACTATAACAAACAATTGAGAGAATTAAATAAATGTCTTTTGCTTTTGTCAGTGATTAATTGATACTCTAGAAAGATCGGTAGGTACTGTGCTAGGTAACCGAAGTATGAACTATGCATATAGTCTCTGCTTGATTACAACATTTGATAGTGTAGACAAACAACATTATGGAGGCTTCTTCGACATTATGGCGTGCATGAGAAGATAGTCAACATCATACAGGATGCTTATGATGAGTTAAACTGCGAAATCGTGCACGGAGGACTGCTCACAGTGTCGTTCGAAGTAAAGACTGGTATCGGGCAAGGTTTCTAACTCTTACTTTTTCTCTTTCTTCTAATGATTGACTGGATTACGAAGATATCGATATCTGAGAGAGAATCACGGGATAC